GTGTCAGAGGGTTTCAGAGTCAGAAGTGTGGTTTGGTTTCATTTGCTACAATTTCAAACAAACTTATATGAAGTTACAAGAGTAGTGTAGAGCACTCCAGATTCGCTGGCCAGTCACAGTGGCTGAGCTTCACGTTTGCTGCACATAGAGGTTCGAGGCCCCTACTGCACATGTCACCCCAGTACCTGCAACCTGGGGCCACAGAGTTTGCTTTTTTAAAAAACCAAATGTAGATATTCAAGATTTAGAGTGATGGAGTCGCAGGCTCTAGTGGTGCTTGGCTCTGACACTGACGTGCTCAGCCAGTGTGGTTTCCTGTGCAGAAGGTTGATCACCTCGCGGGTTCTGCAGGCAGCACTGTGCTGGTTACTGCGTTTAACAGTTAGTCTCAGGGGAAAAGGCCCCAAGTCCCAGGTGTGTTGATTTCCATGTTGTAAATATTCCCATTGTGGCCAATTTCAAGTCTCTCACACTCTCACACTTACATGCACTCACACTCGTACATATTCACACTAATCCATGCAGACATTACATCCACAAGCTCACGCTCATACATATTCATACACTCAAAAGCTCACACATGCATAAACTCAATCACTTTTGTATACTCACCTCCACTCACACTGTCTCACCTCCTCTTCTCTCTCATACAAACAACACCTCCTTTGTGTGACTTAGCTCCTTGACCATTACCTGCTTAAATCTGGTGTCCCCCGATGTTTTCTTTTGTCTGCATTGTTGAGAAGCATCTCATCATTTTTGCTTCAAGCAGCCCAACCCAATTGTGGTCACAAAAACTGTAGAAAAAGCCAATTTTCCCCAATGCCCTGAAATGGCACCTTCCACTGAATACTAAACTTCTATGTATATTTTGTCCTCTTTCTGGACTCTCCCTTCTGTCCTGATGACCTGACTGTCCATTCTTGCCCTGGACTACACACTTCCCATGTTAATAGCTTTATTTATACTTTAATATTTTGCAAGATTTATTTCCTTTAAGATTTTTAAAATTTAAATAAAATTTAATATTATTAAATTCTCTACAAAATTGAAAAACAAATTCAAGCCATGAGTGGCAATACTTAAGGATGCTTTGGGTAGAATGTTAAATGATCCATGAAGCATTAAAATAAGATGGAAGGAAAACAACTATGAGTTATCATCTCAACCCAGTAAGAATAGCAAAATTTAACAGAATAGCAAACAACAAATGCTGGTGAGCTTGTGGAGAAACTGGAACCCTTATTCACTGTTGGTAAAAAGTCTAAAATGATGCAACCACTATGGAAGGCAGTATGGTACTTTCTCAAAAAGTTGCAAATAGAAATACCATTTGACCCAGCAGTTCCATCACTGGAAATCTACCCCAAAGAAACCATAACCACCACCCAAGCAGATATATGCACACCCATGTTTGTCACAGCTTTGTTCACAATAGCAAAAATTTGGAAACAACCTAAGCACCCATCAACAAACAAATGGATAGGGAAGCTGTGGTATATTCACATAATGGAATACTACCGGATGAAGCCGGACTGCTCCTTGGAGTTAATTCTGAAGCTTCGTCTGACATACCTTGGGCATGTTGCAAGGAGGGACCAGTCCTTGGAGAGGGACATCATGTTTGGGAGACTGGAGGGACAGCACAAGAGCAGAAGATCCTTGATGAGATGGATTGAGTCAGTGATTGGGGTAGTGGGAGTAGGTATGTTGGAGACAGTGAGGTTGGTGCAGGATAGAGCAGAGTGTAGGGCTCTTGTACGTAGGCTATGAGTGGCAAGTGACTTGACGGCACATAACAACAACCTACTCTTAGGAAACTATAGTGCCCTGGTCTGCAGGGAATTGAGCTGCAAAGACCACACCTCTCTGGAGGGTTCAAATCTACCAGCCGCTCCTCAGAAGAAAGACAGGCAATTTCCTCCCTTCTGACTTCCAGCTTCAGAAGCACAGCGGAGGCTCAGCTCTGAGCTGGTTTTGATCCCCGAGTGTGAGCGGGAGATCTAGTCTTCATCGTTTCACTTTTCTAGAAAAATCATCATCTGCTCTGGCCTCATTCTGCAAGTCTGTTGTCAGGACCGCACTGAGGGCACAGGTGGGTTAGAAACCACATCCACATATGATCTGAGTCTCCGTACCCAACAACGTGCATTTCATTTCCCTTGTGTGTTCTTCTTAGCGGACTTCTGGATCTCCTGCTGTGGTTTTCTTTCTGGTAGGGAGAGCTGGGAGCATAGTTGCTCTGCCCAGTGAGGTCAAATCAAGGAAGAAAGACAGGATGTCTTCCCTGGTGATTTACAGCCTCTGAACACCCACACCCCAGAGTCAGCTGAGTCAGTGTTGACTCGATGGCAATGGGTGACCGTTTCTGGCACCTCTCTTGCTTCCTCTTCTGCCTTGATGTTTGCATGGTGCAGGTGACTGTACTCTGACTGCTTCCTGGCTTGGGCACCCCTCCCAACAGGATGTTGTTGACTTCGGGGAAAGAAGTGCTTCTCTTTTATTGGAGGAACAATGTACAAGGATTATCTATGTGTTGTCTAAGAGTTATCTATGGCTGTGAAAAAAAAATCATCACGGGAAACAGAATCGCTGAAGACACTCCTGACCCTTCACTATCCGCCCACAGCTGAGGACAGCTTGGTCAAGTGGGTATGGCCTAGGGTCCAGCTGTTGGCTAGGTCAGCATTTTCTGAGGCTTAGCAAGGCTGGAAGGTCCCCTTGAAGGTGGCTCACCTGGCGGTGTTTCTAGCGTGGGCCTCTCTGTGGGGCTACGTGAGCATCGCACTGCTTGGCGGGCCGGGCAGACGGAGAAGCTGCAGTGCCCCTGATGGCCCCTGTGGCCACTTCCACAGTTGCATCGGTTACACTACCAGCCTCTCAGTGTGTCAGGTCGCTGCAGGCCAGGTAAACGCCAGCAGACAAGGGCGCAAAGTCACTGCAGGGCAGTTGCTAAGCAGAAGACCAGACCCGCTGACGCCGCTGGCACTGCCGCCTCGGTGGCCCCCCCCCCTAAAGCGTGGCTCCCCTAAAGTGTGGTTCCGTGGGTTTCCTTCCGAGCTGCGTGGGTCCAGAGAGTTCATGCAACATCGGAGTTTTAACATCTCAAGGACAGGGGGTGCGTGTGGGTGGGTGTCCGTCCTCCGCAGGCCCTGCCAGCAGGACCCCTCTGTGTCTGGGCGTGAATCGGAGAGATGCCCTGATCTCAGCTCCTCGCGCTCTGTGGCCGCTGGTCCTTCGGTGACCCCAGGCTGCAGCTGCCAGCGGGGGTGGGCAGGTGGGGGGGCGGTGCTTCCCGGCCTTACCTGCCAGGGGCCTGTTTTCTCCACCGGGGACGAGCGGCCGCTCTCAAGCCGAGCATCCCTCCCCGAGCCCGGGGCGTTCGCGTGTGTGAGGCCGCGGCCGGGAACAGGGGTTCTGGGCAGCGGGTCTCATCACCGAGGACGCGCGCCGGGGTCGTGGGCGCGCTCGGCGGATTTGGGGCGGAGAGACGAGCTGTCAGTTGGGGGAGGGGCCGAGGCGGGGCCG